GGGACGCCAGCGCGGCGGAGGCGGGGCGCCGGGGCTAGAGCCTGGCGCCGGAGTGTTAGCGCTGTAAGGGCGACAGCACCCGTCAATTATCACTAAGCGCTAATTAGTTATTACTTAATGGTGATTTGCGGTGCGCTAGCAGCCGTGCCGCTCCCGAAAAGGGCGGGGTGACAGGCTCTTCCCGCTGCTCCTGAGGTGCGGCTGGGCCCAGGTGGCCTTGAGGTGCTGGTGGGTGCGCTGGTGGCCACCGTGGTTCCTGCCACCTGGGGCTGGAATCTGTTCAGAAAGCAAACCTAAGTCCACTGGGAAAAAAGGCATTTTGAGGGGAAAACTGAAATCACTTGGGGTTTTTCCTCAATTCATGTCTGCAGCACAAACACCCTATGCATGGTCCTGCTGACACCATCCTGCACAGGTGTTCCACGGGCTGTTCTGTGAACGGCAGATCGGAGCAATGCGCAGGGAAACAAATACAGCCTCCTGGCCAGGGTCATCTCTCCTGCCATTTCCCGGGAAGTGTGTTTGCTGTCTCTGGCAGGGAAAATGCCATTTTTCACTCCCATCCCATCAGAAACACCTGTGTGTTTTGTATTTGTGTCTCTGAGGCCCCTTCCCCCTCTCCACAAAGGGCATTCAAATCCACAGTGGTTTCAAAAGTTGCAAAGAGGATTTTGGAACAGAGTCCTCACGTAATCCTCACCCAGCAGGAAACCACACTTGAAATTGCGGGAAATACAATTGTAGGGGAGGGAGAAGGGATAAATATTGGAGAGCACTACGGTGCATGCAGAGACAGAAAATCAGCAGGCTGCAATTCAAGATTTCCTTGGCTGCAAGCATATCACTTGGGACGACTTTTGGATGTAGCAGCTGAGGATGTGTCGATGCTTCACGTTCTCAGCATCTGTAACCACCTTCAGGCAGCTCAGCTCTTCATCAAACTGCTAAGGGTGTTTGCAGGTGGGAAGCACCGCGCTGACCTGTCCTGTAACATCTGCCCTCAGCAGCGTAGTGATTGACATCAAAGTGGAGTTGCCAACTCCAGCAAATTTATTACAGCTCTCCTGCAACGCTGGGATTTTTTTCTGAGCTGCCTCAGTCCCCAGAGACAGGCAATGTTAGAGTAATCTTCATTTCATTTAGTCCTCATTTTCATTTGAGTGAAAAGCTCAAAGCTCTGCAGGCAAAAATAGAAAGAACCTGAATGTATCGTATTTCTCATCCTCCTTTGATTTTTAAGGGAGCTCCTTGGTTTTCTCATCCTAACTTACAATTTTTATGATAATCTGGTGGGTTATCAGTACGTCATTCTAATTTAGGCTTTGTTGTGTTTATTGAGGATCACTTCTTGGTTTCATATCAGGACATGATCAAACAAGTGGAATTCTTTGACATTACTAGCACACCTGTCCCCAGTACGGCTGCCTGACCACCTTTCCTCCAAAGCCTGCGATGTGCGTGAAGCCTAAGGCAGGCCAGTTTGCTGTCCTAGGAATTAATTCCTGAAAACTTTGGTTCTGATTCCTGGAAGAAGCAGGAGCCACAGTTACATATTTCAGCTGTAATATAGTGAAGACTGGACTGTGAGCAGTTATAGTAACACCCACCAGAGTACCTGGCTTTCTGAAAGAACCTTGCTATTTAGACAGAAATAAAAATGATCTGAAATCTACCGTTTCCAGCTGGTGTTCTGGTAAGTGGCTAAATAAACACAAAAGCTGAAAGTTCCTCAGTTTCCAAGTCCACGTCTGTCATTAAATTAGGTACTTTTGAGCGATATTGAGGGGAAAATCAGACATCTGCAGTAAATGAAGCATGCTTTTAGAGTTACTGCTATCCCCATACAACCCACTGATGGCAGCACTTAAAACAAGACCTTATTCCCCACGTGTGTCCTGGAGGTCTCTTGATGTAAAGGTTCTTGGGGTCACAGCAAGCATTTTTCACATTGTTCAGTGCAAAGCTTTCAGATACACTCAGTGGCAGTGACTTTTATTTATCACCTTCTGTTGGAAGAACTGCTGCTGCATCGGAGAGGTCACAACCTCCTCTCGTTCCAAGCCACTGTCCTGTCCAAAATGAACAAGTTCTGCTTAATGCCGCAGGCCAAACATTAATCTTTGTGCTAAGTCCTTCATTTGACTCCCCCTGAGCTTGCAGAGTAAGTTGAGTGAAGAAAGAGATCTGTTTTCTCACATCCTTTCTTCCTTGCGGGAAAATGCCGCCAGTGTTCCTGAGCATCTCCACTGCAAGAGAAGAAGATGGGCTGAGCAGAAAAACCTAGCACAGGCAAAGGAAAAGCCTGACTGTGCCTGAACAACAGATGTTCATGGTCCCATACCTTCACTCAACCCTGTTTTCAGCTCGTTCACAGTCCTGTATCATCTCCCAAACCCGCTTTCATCTGTGGCTGAAGCTCAGGGGCTGGAGGGCAAGCTGGGGACACTGAGGAACAGCCATGTGGTGCTCTTCCCAGGCACTGTGGGTGCAATACCCTGCAGCAGAGGAGAGGGTAGACAGTTGTGTCTGTGCTGCTGCCACTGCTGACTCTGCCAGCACTGGAGCAGCATGGTGGCCACTGGGTTTTCGCTCAACCCCTCCTTTCATCTTCTTTTTCGTTCCCTGCTCCTCTCTTTCTCTGCCCTTCCCTGCAGGCTGGTAAGAGTGCTTTTTAGAATGACCATTATGCCTACAGCACCTCACCTGCTTCCCTCAGCCTTTGCAGCACATAAAAGCCTTGGCAAGAGATGAAAAGCCTTTTAACTACACTATGATAAAGAACATATTGCATCTATAGATGCACTGAGTGGGATATGAGCTGCCAACAAGAGCAATCCTCTAGCTTATACCCTGCAAAAAAGAGAGATCATAGGGAATTAATATTGGCCACTGATGGGTCCTCTTTGTCAGGGCTACTTAAGCACCATTTTGAATCAATTTCACATTATTAATCCTTCCACTGGTGCAACAATGCACATGTACAAAAATGCCTGTATATGTATATGCTTATTTGCGTGTATTTCCCACCCCAGCCTCTAGTTCCTACAGGATGTCTGACACCAGCAGCAGAAGATATGTTGATCTGGTCATAACATATTAAGGCTGCTGAAGAGCAGATGTTAAAAACAGACTTCTTGGCATGTATCAGCCCCTGGTGGTATCAGTCACACACATGTTCCAGTTTATTTATTAAAGCAATTGCTCTCCTCATTCTCTTTATTATCTTTCTCCTGGGCAATTCTGGTGCATCAGAGCCAACCCCTTCCAGTCAGTCAGCCCTTCTTGGATCGTCATTTTTGCTTCAGCTAGGACAACACCCTGCAACTCTTCCTTCCTGAGAAACCGGGCCCGTCCCACTGTTGTGAAAAGCAGATGAAAATTTATCAGCTGCAAAAATTTATCCTGGCATAAATATAGTGAAAATAAAGACTCAACGATCCCTTCAATTTGGTACTAAACAGGTACATAATGGTACCAGGGAGGCCATCTGGAGGGGGAATTTTAATGATTTTGCCACAAACAACACCCAAGAGGCTGTGATGCACCACGGGAGCACAGCACGGCAGAGGGGGCCTGTTAATTCAGAGTCTAGGAACAAAACATAACCTTTTGGCCATAAAAAAATTGTTTGTCCCATTTTATTAAACAGCTGCAGAACTGTGAAATTAGCGCAGAGCAAAGGGCCTTTCCTGAGACCACGTCAGTGCATAGGAGAGCAGCACGGCTCCGTGCGCTGGAAAGGTGTGACACTGGTCCTTCCTCCTCCAGGAGACGGCATTGTCACCAGCCTCCTTAAACACCTGACGTGCACATACTAAGGCGAGGGCTCCTGCCATACTCTTGCAGAAACACAGGCTTATATTCTGCAGTTTATTTCTGCCAGGGATAGGGCAGCAATGCTCTTGGCCGCAGCTTCAGCGTAGCAAAATCTGAGAGGCCCCCTGACACCAAGTGGCCAGGGGCTCTCATGCAAGGAAGCAGAATCCCGTGCCCAGTACTTACCTCCAGCTGCCACCCCAATGCCTGGTGCCCCATAGCCCCTCTGCACGCTCAGTATCTGTGCGGCAGACCTCTACCCACTTCCCTGGCTGTTGCATGTGCTTCTGGAGCCGCCTCCTTCAGAAAAATGAAAATGAATTAAATATTACCCTAATATCTAGCCAGCAGTGGACAGCTGGACCTGGACGGGCAGCAGTTTTTCCAGCCTCTCCTCATTTTGTCAATCTCCCTTTTGCTGCCTTAACCCTCCTGCAAACTACAGGGAAGGCTGGTTTAATGTGGATTTTAGATCATTTTTTGCCACTCAGACACCATAAGCTCCCCCTCACACTTACAGTAGCGTTCCCTGTTCTTAAGAAATCTGGCAGGTTTTAGAAATTTTTCTGAAATACTAATTGCAGTAAATTATTATGGAAACAGATGGGGGAACCAGACAGCCAGAAATTTAATAACTCCTTTGAGTACTTAGCAGCAGAAACACTAGTCCCCAAGTTCATTAAGAAAAAAAGTGATTAATGAAGATACAGATTTTGCATAATGATAGAAAGCCTTAAACTGTACAACTTTCTGATGATCCTCATTTATTCTGCCTTATTGGCTGCCTGGACAATTGAAGATGAACAATCTGGGAAAGACAGAAAACGTGCATTTTAACTACTGGGTAAAGTAAGTGAAATAACGATCCAGTGGCAACGTAGTGACCTTTTCCATGTGAACACGTCTTCCAGAGACTCTCTGCAGTTAGTCTTACAGCAGAGCTAATATTTCCATTTAGCACATAAGAGAAATGGAGGAAAATCTTAATTATGCCTGCATTTGTGGTCATAGTCCAAACGCCTGACACTGGAATCACTCACATCTGTTCTCAGCTCATTTTGTGGGCAATGACTTAGTTGACTCAGGAAGCAGAGTTAAGAAAAAGTTTGCAACAGGATGGCCCTAAGCTGCCCAGACAGTTGTGCGTTACCAAATGGTCCCAGAGGAGTATCGCTAACGTTCCCGCAGAGCAGCTGGAACCGGGACACCGGGTTCCTTCGGCCGCCGAATTGCTTGAGTCATTCTACTGGTGATTTAGTGCCTTCCTCTGTTTAAAAAAAGAGGATTAACAGACTTGGACTCTTCCAAAGGCTGCAGCCAGTGTTAATGAAACACGAGGTGGGTTGTCCCCTCCTAGGAGAACGAGTGGGTGCAACATTAGTGCTGGACCCACTGTCCCTCCCCTTCCAACCAGTTTGGACCAGCAGGAGACCAAGGCCATCCTGGTGGAGGCCCAGCATGACCCCTCGGGCTATTTTGCTGGACCTTTGTAAGGAAAGACTCAATTAAAATTGGATTTCCTTGAATTTCATGTTTTTGGAGAGCTGGACACCGACCCCTCCCTGCTCCACAGTGATGGATGGATCCTCCATCCCGATGCTGTGGCCCAGGACTGCCCTGCAGCAACGGTGGCCCTGGCCCCTAGGAGAGGTGTGTGGCTCCAGCTCAAGGGTGGCCCTCACCTCCGCTGCTCAGCTCCATCAGCCTCCCGGCATAAATAAATTGCAATTGTTTTTGTACAGACAAGGAGCAATATTTTAGAAAATTAGTTCATTGCCAGCTGTTTGCTCAGCTCAGAGTTTTTATCAGTTAAATTCCTTCTCTGGCTCCCAGGGAGCACCGCTGATGGGAAGTGCTTGCAATGACATATAGAACAGCCACCACGGCTGAAATGATCCACCTAGTGGGAGATGCTACTGAAGAAAGGAGCTTAAGGGTTTATTTGAACAGCTGAACTTCGGCATGTAAACTACAGCTATTTTTTAAATGTAAACTGTAAAAATAATACAGTTTGCTTTAAAAAAACGTGCTGTGTGTTTGGTGCTGTGTACTTGATATAAATAATTTTTAGTATCATTTAATTCAAAGAAAAATCTTTCTCAATCTGTTTTGGCTACTCAGAGAAGGACAAAGAAACCAAAGTACGTGAATGACAGCGTAGAGACAGGGAGCAGAGGGCTGGAGGGAGTACAGGCTCTCATAAGGACTAGCTGCTGGGGCACATGTTGCCTGCCCAAAAACTGCACATCCCTTTTTGCCACCACTCCACACTGCTGCCTATGTCCTGTAAGACTACATGAAGTCCTGCTTCATTTTCCCCTTCTGCAGGGCGAGGGATAGCAGTGGAACAGATGGAGGTGACTGCTCCATGGAGAGTCCCATCCCTAAATCCAAAACAGAGACAGGGTGTGCGTGCTGCTCTGTCCCTAAGGAGGAGGTCAGCAGTGAGGGAGAAAGGCTGCCTAACCTCAGTCTTCCTTTTCTATTTCCTAGTAACTGAGTCACCAATTGCAAGCCAAACCCACAGCGATGCCCCTGGAGGGAAGTGAAACAGCAGCTCCAGAAGAGCAGGTAACGGGGCTTTGTCTGCACCCAGCTCGATTCGGCAGGTTGTCCATACACCACAGGGGTCTGCTCACAAAACCCAAACTACGCAGCATTATTTGTATGGGTGAATGGCTTTGACAGCTTGGTAGCTCCGCTACCTCTTTCCAGAAGACTCACCGTGTCTCCAGCAAGCAGAGTTCTCTGAGGGGACACATGTAGCTCTTCCACTGGCTGAGGACCCATGGGCTGGCATTGCCCAGCTGAGCTATCAGCACCCTGCAGACCCAGCTCTCCTCCTCGCTGCCATGCTGTAGCTCGTCACTTTAGCTGTCAAAATGCTGCTGTTGCTGACAGAGACAAAAGTAGCTGTGTTACTCAGCGACTGGGTATTTTGCAGGGCTGCGGTTGCATAATGTTTTCAGCCAGCAGCACCAGCTTTTGAGTGGTCTCTCGGAAGAAACTAAGACAAACAGGGTTGGGCATAGCAGGTTTAAAAATGCAATACCTGGAAAAGCTGCAGAGGTCCATGCACTGAAAGGGGTTAGAAAGCTCTGCATAAATGTGTTGAGGGACTCGGTGCCCTGTACTGCTGTTGGATGCTCACCTGAAGTCTTACATTAATTAGAGCAGCATCAGTCCAGCATGGATTATACCTCAACCTGGACAAGTGCAAACCTCGTCTGTACGCAATGCTTGATTTTTGGATCATAATCAAGCACAAGAGGTAACTAAAACAATTGTGGGCCTAAATTTCAGGCTAAGGTGTTACTAGTCAAACGAGGCTGGGATTACAGTAATACAAAAGTGAGATAAAACAGGATCCTGGGAGTCTCAGTAGCACCTAAACATTTCCAGGTTCATAAATCCTGTCGACTGCAGAGACTTAACCTTCTTGGGCATTTTAGTCTATCCCTAGAGGCATCTATGTGTATCTGTAGACACCCAAAGCCTTGGACCATTCCTGTAATAGCCACTGAATCCAGCAGCCAAGTCCAAGCCCAATAGTCAGGAGGCGATTTGCCATTGCAAAAAGATGTTGTTTTATCCCAGTAGCACATGACACAGCCACAGTGCTGCTCTTCTGCTTGAGGCTCCCACTGCCTTCTCCCTCCGTGCACCTCTAAATCTTTACTGAGATACTTCAGTCTCATGTCGGTCCTGGCTGTAAGACGTCTTCCGTGTTTTCTTTGACATTGTGGACCACAACCCTTTGGTGAGAGGCAGCTGAGAGGTCCTTCCCAGGAACAGCAGAAGGAGGCTGATGACAAGAAATTCTTGTTCACCCCCTTGTGACTTTCCAGGGCACTCTTCCTTTTCCTTCTGTTTTGCAGCGAGAGAGACTTGCCAGCTCTTCTCCTCTCACTAGGATTATCGGAGCTGGCTTCCGATGTGAAGTTTCCCAACGGTGAAAGTTTCTGATCATTTCTTCGTATCATGCCATCGTGAGACACATTGCCATTCCCAGCCGATAACCTATCATTCGTATTTTGTTGCAGAAAAGCCATTATCTAAGGGAAACACAAAAGCATGAGAACACAGGCTGTTTGTACATGGGGAAGGAGAAGCATATGACATGTGAATTTGCCAGATGTTACCACTCTGAATCTTATTAAAATATGCCCTGTACCGACCATGACTGCGTTATCTGTACGTGGAAGGAGTTGGAAGATAAGAGGCATTTTCACTGACAGCGCTATAGTGGCCTGACCAGGCAGCCTGGGAGCAAATCCCTGACACGGCGTCACAATTTCTTGAAAATGTACAGGCTGTTGGCCTGGGTTTTGCATAGTCCTGACCACTGCTTCATTTGACAGTATCCTTCCTTCGCATCTATTCAGACTGAGACTGTTTTCCAGAAAATTACACCAGCTCCCAATATGTACGTTTGGTTTATAAAAAGACCTGACTTTTGTCCAGCTCAGACGATGCCTCAAGGCATGTTTTAATGCTCTTCTGACAGTGTCTTGTGTTTGTCTAGTTGGAAATATTCCAGGTGATTCAAAAATTACACACTGCTGCTTAAAAGTCTATTCTATGTATATTTCTTTCACACATTTTGGCTTTAGAGGAAGCTGTTTCAATTCTCCATCCCCCCTTTCCTCAGTCCCTCCCATCTCTCACCTAAAAGTGCTGTGGGACATGCTGTGGGGATGGAGAGGTGTAGAAGGGCTTGAGCCCAGCCTGCCCACACTTTGAGCTGGCTTGGTCCACGCTAGGTCAGATGCAGAAGACTAAGAGCCATGTCAGCTCCTCCGTGGCCGCTCCTAAGGCTGTACTTTTTTGTGTGCAGCACCCAGTCAACAGGTAGGGAGAATTAACGTCTGTCCATCCTCCTCCGTTTGCCATCCCAGGGCTAGTGATGCTCTCCAAAAATAGTTCATGTCTACCACCAGCCCAGGCTCTGGCTCAGATTTACAAATCTTTAATGCAGCTGCAAGTTCAGCTCCCTCTTCTAGACAAGACAACTCCACTGCAGAGCATCCACCCTTCTGGTGCAGGCAGGGTCCCTGCAGCTGCCTGTGGGCAAGATGTGCCTGCTCCTGCTTGGAGATGCCAACAGAGCTCTGCATTCAGCTCCCGACTCAAGCGCCTCCAGGGCAGATACTGCAGCTGCCAGACCTCCACCATCCAAGTCTCTTCTTTTTGCAGCGGAAAATCTGAATCTCCCATGC